GTGTGAGGTTTGAAATTTTAGTAGTAACTACAACAAAATTGAGTTTATAGGAAGCCCCTAACCTCTAAGCGTCTCAATAGACCGCTTTATATGATTTAATTTATAGGACCAAAAATATAAAATGTCATATTTAAACGTGTTGTAATAAGTTTATATGACACTTTTGGGCGTCTTAACAAGTTTTTGAAGACATTTTTAATACAAAATGTTGCATTAGCAACTTAATAGGACACTTTTGAGAAAGTGTCCTATAAACTCAATTTTTATAGGACAAATTTTCAAATAGTATTCTATAAAGGTTCTAATGGGACGTTTTATATTAAAAGTGTCTTAAAAAAACTTATTACGACGTCAAAAAATGTCATATAAACTTATTACAACACATTTAAATAGGACACTTGATTTTTTTTTTTGGCCTATAAAGATGTCTAGTAAGACGCTTAGAATTTGGGAGTGTCCTATATACCCGATTTTGTTCTAGCGAGTTATATTTGTTTTAGTGATGTTATATGTATTTATTTATATCAGAATCATGTTAAATCATATTTTAAATTTGTAAAAGGTAAGTTTTAATATTGACGTATGTAAAAAGAAAAAAGAATTTCTATATATATTTTTGTACGTTTAAAATTTTAAATCTATTAAAACAAAATACCAAAAATAAATAAATATCTTGTCATTTATTCTTAATTAACACTCTTTATTTTCACTTAAATATGAATCTTCTATAAATCATATTTTGTTAATCTAAAAAAAACTAAATACATTAAATTAAATTAACATAAAACTACAATATGCACCTTGAATTAAGAAATAAGTTGGTTCTTGCTTTCCAGTTCTTACACATGTTTTCATCTAATTTATTGATCAATGCATGTTTGTACTATTCATTTTCAGCCTTTTGACTTCGATGTAGACGTTTGCTAACACAGCCCATCCTTTTGTATGTAGCATGAACAATAAAAAGGTATGATACTAACAAAATAGTATTTTTGAACTTACTTAGTCTGACATGCTGAACATGTTCTCATACCAGGATAAAAGTTGATAGAGTTAGTGAGCCAAACTTGTTGGGTTAAGTTTGTACTTAGAAATCGGCTCATCAAAAATAGTATTTGTCAACTATTCTTGACTTAATCTCATACTGATCTTCAATCGACAAGATGACAATTCAATCCGCTTTGATGACTATCTTGGCTTCACTTCAACTAATTTTCGGTTTTGTTGAAGGAATTCTGCATTTGGATCAATACAAATAATAATAAGACTTTTACAATCAAAATTCTGTTTTATCTTTCTCTCCAAAGCATAAGTTATATTTCGGATTCTAGCAAGACTATAAAACGTGTGGATCCTAAAAAGACTCTGGAATCGGAACCATGATTCGAATTTGGTTAGAATCCAGATCCTTCTTGTTTCGGGTTTTGGACCGATTGGGATATACACTAAGGTTCCATCCAATTAATCATATTCGGATATGTATCACAATCCAGATTTTGGAGTCTATCAAATTTAGATAATCTCTAGGTAGTGAAATTGGATTTTAAGGCAAAACATCAACAATATTTCTAAGTGTTGGATTAATGTATTTGTGTTATTATCAAATCAAATGGTTAATACCATCGTTGTGAGTAGGGGTGCTCACGGCCCGGGTTGATCGGTTTGGAGCCGTTTTAACAACTCAACCCAATGTTGGCGGTTTGAAAATTTTCAACCCAACCCAACCCAAACAAAAGTTCAACCCAACCCAACCCGTTCGGGTTGATCGGGTTGTGTTTAAACAATGTAAAATCACATAAAAATAAAGAAAACTTTCCATTGAAATACGACCGACCATTCAAGATAATATGCAAGTTCATCAAATATTTAGATATTACAATAAAAATRTTYWAACCAAATGATAATACATCAATCAACAACAAATAGTTTTAGACGTTTTCAACCCCGATGCTTTCGCTTTCTTGACGTTGAGGTTGGTCATGTMATGATTGTCATCTACAATTCAAAGCTAAAGTTAAGGTCGGGTTCATCGGGTTGTCGGGTTGGTCGGGTTTTTTTGGGCCTGACCCGATTCCAACCCAATAAGGTCGGGTTGACTATTTTTTTTATCGATCATGCATCGGGTTACCTCGGGTTGAGTTTTTTTTTTTTAAATTCGGATTGGGTTGGTCGGATTCATCGGGTTTTTGAGCACCCCTAGTTGTGAGACACATAAAAAGTGCAGACCTATTCCATCACCACTTTTTGTGGGCCCCAAAGTTATTTTCATAAAACAAGTGATAAATGAATTCATTCACCATCTTTTATGAGTTTTAATTATAAAATGAATCGCTTAATGACCGAGGGTAGAAAGTTTATAAAATATGTAAAAATAAGATAAATTTGATGTGGTACAGAGAGATCTAATGTGATGGAGTCGTGAACCTGCAAACAAGTTCATGATTTTGTAAGGCCATCTCATATCGGTATGGCTTGGACCAATACATCATTGCTTTGTCATGTCAACATGAAAAAAATCAGTTTAAACCACTGTAAGACGAAAAGTATAGACCGATTTCATCATCACTTTTTGTGACATTTAGATAAATAAATAATTAATAAATCATCGATTTGTTCATGATTGAGAAATCTAGTATGGTAGAGTTATGAATTTGGAGATGCTCTAAGGGGCTGTTTACCCAAATGCTTACCCGGTAAGTGCTTACCTATAGAAGTCAACACTATAATTTACCTCGATACGTAAGATTTTTGTACATCAAAAAGTATCGAATGCAACAATTTACCGAGTAAGCACTTACCTGGGTAAGAGTCGTCATCTTCACTTATCGGGTAAGACTCTACATCCTTCTCATCGCTCTTACCCGGTAAGATTCTTGGCCCTTGTTATGTTCATCCGATGAGAAAATTTATCCGGTAAACACTTATCAAGCAAGCGTTTAGTAAACGGCCCCTAAGACACTCTCGGAAATCCATCCACTATAGTTTTAACTTCGAAGTCACTCTAAAGAACCCTAAAAAATAATCATTGAGGATGTTCCTGAAAAGGGGTCAATAATTTTGCAACTACATACCTCTTTTTATGTTTTAATTACAAGCTCTTATAAGATCATAATTTATCAGTTGTACACGTAATAATATTATTTAAGTTTGTTTTACCTTTTAGGTGTATTTGAATTAATTATGAAACTTTTTAGTTTGTTTTATACTATATGTAATTACACATTTAGTATGTACTAGAACTTTTTTTTTGAATAACTTGGATATCCAACCCGTTATGTGAGCCGACTAATCCAGGGCGACCACCTGCTTTACAGATAACCCAGAGTCACCGCATTTGAACCTCCGTGGCCACAAGAGGATTTTTATTCCTCTTTGGATTTGAACCTGAGACCTCCTGATACTTTTAATCGTTGGAGCCAAGTTCAAACCAATCAGGCACCACCCTTGTGGTTTATATACTAGAACTTTTAATTGTCTGGAATATGAAAACTTTTTCATCAAATTTATTTTGTTGTTGTAATTTTATAATTATTAACTTGAAATATGCTAGGTACAAACTGTATAAACAAATGCGGTGCGGTTTGGTGCAGTTTGGCTCTAAACCGCACCGCGAACACCTTAATTGAAACTTGTTATTTTTGGACTAGGACCATGTTACCTTTGATTTTATAATGAAATTTTAATCTTATAGTTATTGGATTGTAGGAATAAAATACGATATGTACAAGCCGTATAGACCGGATCGCACCATTTCACGGTGTCGTTTTATGGTTTGAGTTATATTTATAATACGGTTTGGAAAAATGTTCAACATTATATACGATGCCGCTAACACCACCGTATCAAACACTCTAGATTTGAAAATTTTGCAGGTACATCCATCATGTTATGTGTGAGTTACATTTTCTACCCTGGTATTATAAAAAATACATACACACCCTCGAAGATTTCCAAAGACAACATTTCACATCATAACTTTAAAAGCATTAGGGGCCGTAACTTTAGAATATCCAAGAGACCCTCTGCACTAACAAAAGTACCAAATTTCAGATTAAATATTAATTTACCAACAATGAAATGTATATTCATACTTTTTATGTTCACTATTTTTTTCTCGATATACGTTGGAATCTCACTTTTCATATAATCGACTCTATTGCAGAGTAATGTAATAAAGTTCAACATATTCTCGCATTGTATCAGATTAACGTCTACCGTCACATGCATTAGATACTCCAAGGAAATCTATAACTATCTAATTTTTCTCGACATTGCGGGCACGTCCAACTTTCGGAGAGGTGTTAGAATATCACATTGACTATACTTTGACAATTTATCCTTAATATATGTTGGAATCTTCTTTATCGACTTACTTTTTTGAAAAAGTAATCTAATGGGTTTTAACATATTCTCACCAGAATAAATTATTGTAGAATAGCAACTAACTATATAATGGTCTTCGTTTAGGTTGAGCTGAATTATCTTCCAACTCAACAAACTTTTATGATCTGATATTTTTTCTTAGGTTTTGTCCAGTTAAATTACTTGGTACAAGTTTGACCAACTTAGAAAGTTTGTTTATTCTTATGATGACGTACTCGGGTTCATTCTTCCATGACTCTTTAATTTCTACGATCTATAAACGGTTAATTAACATGATGGTTTTTTATTTAAATACACCAATTAAATCTTTTAAGGTTTTTTTTTTCTTGAAAAAGAAAATAAAATTAACCACAAATCTTTAACCTTTATACGATGAGTGGATTGGCAACTCTTTGTCTTCCAAATTGTGTTCAATTTATTGACTCTTTCCCGAGAGAAACTTCAATTCTTGGACCATATTTATAGAATAATTGTAGATCAAATTTAACGGCATAGATCATAGTTCCACCCCTACAACTATTCTAGGGATCGCAGGGGATCAAAGGTGGGGTTTTGTTTACTGCTCTATCTTACCTGCTTTGTCTAATCTGTGTACAGACTATACATACAAATACTTGTATACATCTACGCCGGTAACCATAGGTTGTTAAAGTAGACAAGAGAAAAGAAATACCCTTCAAAAAGAACAAACAAAAAAAGAAAAAAGAAAAAAGAAAACACTAAAAACATTAAAGACAAAAAACTTGAAGAAGCAAGTCAGAAAACATGGATTTCTACAAGCAAACCTTGGTGGAACAAGATGCAGAGGTAAATATGCATATGTTTGATGTGGGTTTTTGTTTTCTTACTTGATATGCTTCAAATGTTTGTCTGGTAGTGATGATTCTTGAGTGTTCCATTTTTCAACTTGCAGATGAAGCAAAATTTGGCATCTGACAACAACAACAGCAAGAAGAAGAGGAAGAGGAAGAGGACTCCTAAAGAGCCTTGGGAACCTAAATCCAAGGATAAACAGGTGAATCGATTGTTTCTTTTCCTGCTTTGAAATCTGTGCCCACGTCAGATTCATGGTTGTTTTGAGATTTGATTTTGGATCTGTTAAGGTTGTGCTTACTTTTGATGATGTTGTTCTTTGAGATTTGCTCAAACCTAAGATGAAAGAATCTTGATGTGTTTTCTTGAATTATATACGAGGGGTTTCTGCTTTACCCTTCTTTGTTTTTTCGTTTTTAAATCTTCAGCTCACCATGTTTTTGCAACTTTACTCAAATTAAGTTTCAGATTTGATGGTTTTTTATTGTTTTGGAGCCCTAATTTTCTGGGGTTTACTTGCCATTAAGACTCCATGTATATATGGAATGTCCACGGGATGGTTTTGTGTAGCACTTTTTCCCTAGTAAGATTATCTGTTCCGTTCGTTCCGTCCATGTTTTCTGAGAAATTAAGGCTGTTCCAAGATGTTTGTTGCTTCATGGACCGCATTACTTGTTGGCTTCATCGAACACATGTTCATAGGAAGAAACTAGTGCAGGATGTTCGTGCTTTGTGTCGAACTGTTTCTTTAAGTAATTAGTAAAGACGGGGCTCTCGAATATGAAGAGTATGCCATAATTACTAACGTTGTTTTATTTTTTCAAGCAGATTATGTCGGATAAGCCCAAGAAATGTCCAGGGTTGGTTACTTATCCGTTTCTTTTTCAGATACTTTCTTTGAAATCTTTAGTGAATTGTATATAAATTACCGTCCATCTTAATACAGCAAGGGAAAAAGAACGCGGGTTTGTGACATTTATAATGATGCCGAAGATCAATATATGTGTTTGGAGCGAGCAGCATTCTTATTGGAACGTCTAGATGCAGAGTCACCTAAGTTTGCCAAATGTATGCTCCCATCAAATGTTCTCTACAGTTTTTGGTTGGTAAGAATCAAGAAATAAGTAAAAGCTTCAAATTTTTAACGAAGATTTCAAAGGAAGAACGATTGTATGAAACTAGCAACTAGTTTTAACTTGTTAATATGATTTTCTTTGTGCAGATTCTACCGAAGAAATTCTGTGTTATGCATTTGCCTGAGCACGATACGACTGTTACGCTTGTGGACGAGACTGGAAAGGAGTTTAAGACGAATTATCTCAAGGTAAGGCACGGTTTAAGTGCTGGCTGGAGGGGATTTTCCATTGCACAAAAGTTGCTTCAGGGTGATATTCTGTTCTTCCATCTCGTTGAACCCTGCAAATTACAGGTAATCAATCTTTTTGGTCAATTTTACAATGGTGTCTTTCTAATTTGGTTAAACGTTAACTTGAGTTCATTTGTTTGAGGGACTGTGTTGCACTTGACAATTGCGAAAATGACTATAGTACCCTTTATCATAGTAGACCCCCATCAATAACGACATGACAAACAACTTATGGGTTTATGTCAATTTGTAACAAAATCGTGTACCCCGTAACAAAGCACTCAAGTTTATGCACGTCAACGTTTGTCGATATACCAACAAGAGAAAGTGAGACAAAAGAACTGGGTGGCCGATAGAAATGGAGACCGTGAAGTGAAGACGCTAAAAACAAGAGGCTTTTAAGGTTAATATAGACATACTGAAAAATAGTTAAGGGTATGTGTGTCGAAAAGTTAGTTCATGAATGGGTACTTGCTTGTTTCCTAAACCTTTAGTGACTCTCCTGTAGGTGGACGGTCATTTAGGGACCATTTACTAAAAGCCTACCCGGTAAGCAACTATTGGCTCACTTTTCCTTACCAGATAAACGTGGCAAGGACCAAGGATCTTACCCGATAAGAACGATGACAAGGGCCGTGTCTTACCGGTAAGTGAAGGTGACAACTCTTACCCGGTAAATTGTTGCATATGATGCCGTTTTAATGGATTGGAATCTTACTTGACAAGGTAAGTGAGAGTGTTGACTCTTATCGATAAACGCTTACCAGGTAAGCGCTTGGGTAAACGGCCCCTTAGTTGAAAAACCTTGAATGAATTTTAATTTACGAGCATGGCCTTTTATAGAAAAAAGTTAACTCAGTGACCTTCAAATGACCTAATTTTGGTGTTAAACAACATGCCCATGTAAAGTTTTGTAAAAACCTAGAATGTTAGTTTGTAAAATGTGTTAACATTAACCAAAGGGTGGTGCCTGATTGGTTTGAGCTTGGCTCCAAAGATCAAAAGTACCAGGACGTCCCAGGTTCAAATTCAAGGAGGAATAAAAAATCCCCTTGTGGCCACGGAGATTCAAATGTGRTGACTCYGGGCTATCTGCAAAGCAGGTGGTCGTCCTGGGATTAGTTGGCTCGTATAGCGGGTTGGATATCCAGGTTAAACAAAAAAAATGTGTTAACATTATGATAGATTTTTTTTAAATGCACGATCATTTGACAGATTTTTGTTAAAGTGACTTATAGAAGAAGGTCATTTAACAAAATAGCACTCCATTCGTTAGAGGGTATACTTCAGTATATAACCTTAAATGAGATTTTAATTAAAACTATGACCTCCTCATGAGTGTGGAGCCAATTTTTGGTTAATAGATCAGTAGGTCATGGATTTAATTAAAATTTCTTTTAAGGTTATACACTTAAATGACCCCTCGTTAGAGGGTGTCAATTTCTATCTATGCACGTTAGTTCGACTCTAGATCGACAAAGAAGGGCACAACAAACCTCCGTAAATGAGTTTTCAATTAGGAACATTACTATTTTTAAACTCAATAATCTTCAAATAACCTTTAGTGAATTATATATAACCGTCCTAGAAGTAGGGTCTAGGGGGTGTACGCAAACTTGACCTCTACCCCAAAGAGTATAGAGGTTGTGTTTGTTAAGACCCTTGGCTTGTGCAAAGTGTGAGCAAATAGATAGAAGGTACAAAGACTAAGGGGCCGTCTACCAAACGGTTACCGGGTCACTTACCTTACCGGATGTGCATAGCAACGACAGAGAATCTTACCTTGTAAGAGGCAAGATAAGGATTGAGAGTCTTGCCAGGTAAGGAGGCTAGTGATTCTTACCCTGTAAGCACTTACCAGGTGATGGACGTTTACCAACAATCTTTTTTGATGGCCGAGAATGGTATCTGAGAAGTGAGGGTGATAACTCTTGCTGGTGAGCGTGTACCTATGAAGTGTTTGGTAAATGGCTACTAAACACATGGTGAACATCGAAGGAGAAAATTTGAAAAAAGGATAAAGAAGCAAGTACCATGATAACATAGACAAGGTAAAGTAAGGCGAAACACACAGAGCAAGTAAGCAAAAACACATCCCTACCTCAACCCCGCCCCCACCCAAAAAAACCGCCCCCCTGATGTGCTTTTTGTATTTACATGTGCTATCAACAAAGGAAGTGAAATAGAGAGAGAAATACATGGGCATGGAATATCACCATTTCAATAGATGTCAGAGTTAAATACTAGTAATTGAATTTTGTTCTTGAACCGTCTCTTGTTATAGGTTAATATAGTACGAAGATATGGGTTAGAAACGATAGAAGCGGCTGTTTGCCTAATGGAAATGCATCCTCGTGTTAAAAAGACAAGGACGTCAAATTACTTTGGTACGTATGATCATTTCTTGATCGTTTATTTCTTTTAAGCCTCAAGTATTACCCCATAATTCTTTGAATATTATTTCATATACTCAGATAAAGCGGGCGAACCAAAGAAAGAAAAACTTAAACATAAAGAAGCCAAGAAAGGTAAGAGGTCGCCCCCTCGTTCATTTTTTGCCTATTATGTTTCTTGTTTATATTTTTTTAACTTGTGAATATTGTTACTTAGAAGACGAAGGTAAACTAAAGAACCAAACTCCCCCGATGCTTATACAAACAAAGAAAGGTAAGAGAACGCGTAGAAGCCCAAAGAAGTTCATAGCTAGACTGTCTCTAGATTTTTGTGAACGTAACGTGGAAGAAGACGGTGAAAGGGTATCGTGTGTGGACCAATGTGAAAATAGCAGCGACGGCTTGAGCTCGGAAGTTGTCCAAGGTATATTTGCTTTTCACGAGCTCTTTGTTTTACATAGGATGCAAGTTTAAACTGGACTGAATCAGGGGTCCTTTGGATAAATAAGCTTAAACAAAATTTCAGTTAGGGGCATGACCTTTTAAAACTTTTCTTTAGCTCAATGACCTTTATCTGACTTGCCCCTGGTTTAAAACAACATGCCCCTGGTCATTGTAAAAATTGGGACGGAGGGGATAATTTATTGTGCTAATGGGAACCGAATTACTTGTAGGGTCGACGTTGGAAATGACGAATCAATCGCAACCTGATGAGGTCGGGTGCTATGCACTGAATCTGGCGTGCCATGAAGGCATCAACTGTCATTCGACTGCTGAAAGAATATATCATTCTTCTACAGTTACCACATAAAGAAAGAATCTTTATTTGTGGGTAATTCTGCAAATGGGGAAAAGCTTATGAACATCTTTTGGGAAATTGGAATCGGAATTGGAATTGGAATCGGGATCGAAAGCAAAAGCATATAATATGTTGATGGTTTCAGGCGAGAGCTTCTTGGACATGCTTTTGAATGAAGAGAAGCTTACAGCGAGCTCTTGAGTTGAAATGGATTTTGAAGTACAGTTAGCTTTTGCAGGCAAACGCCCCCAGTCAGTGCACCAAAATTTCTGGGCTATTTTCTTATCATTTTTTGAAATTATTTTTTTTACAAGAGAATATATTTTGGTATACATAGGAAGAAATTCTCTTGAATCCATAGTCACTTTTCAAGATTCTTTACTAACTTCTGTTCAGAATTTTAAGGAAGATGTCTACAATCTGCGTTTCTTTCTGCTTCTTTTAGTATAAGTATATATGATTGTTGTTCCATGACGGTTTCGGAGGTAACCTCTTCATCACAAGTCGGACTTGTTGGCTTTGTGAGCTTTCACTTAATCGGACAGGGCTTTTTTGTGCATCTTTACATGCGATCATCAACTGTGAGCTCGTGCAACAGTTGGTTTTAAGATGATATGCTTACACAAACAGTTGGTTCATCTTAACCTGTAGAAGTTACAGAATTCATTCAACAAAATCCAGGATATTCAAGCACAAGAACAAACATATCCGATGTGGTCTAGTTGTTTGTATATGAAACAACCCGAAGGAGAGTTATTTCGGAAAAATATGATCATACGTGTGAGCCTTATTCAACTTTATTCATGAAGGAACAATAACAGAGTCCTCTATATTTCCAGTTTGCCGATGCTTATGTGATTACTCCAACAATGTTTATTACCAATGGTAAACTTAAAGTTTGGCTGCTTGTTGACTGAAACTCGGGTCAATGCAAACCACCACCTGGAAACAGAACTCCATCATATTAAAGATTTACACGTAAAATTTCTACAAGGCTTGGTGGGAATGCTCGTTTGTAGTCTATGTGCATACCTTGCCAACGCTTTTACCAGAATGGAGATATTCAACTGCATCAGCAACGGATTGAACGCCCACAAAGCTTTTAGGGTCTATTGCAACCTGATTTTTTTGGCAAAACAACGTAAATCTTGAATTATGCCAAGAAACACTAGCAGGTGAACTCTGGTAACACATATTAGGAGAGCAGTTATTGGGCATATGCTTAGATGGAGAAGTTATGGATACCGCACCTTTAGCTTTCCCACGGAGAAAAGATGAACCAGACTATCCAAATGTTGTTGCCAAAGATGAGTATATTGTGTGAGGAAAAATCCAGCCTGCAAATGCCTCATATTATCAGTATGCAGATCCTGAAGTTGTGTCATGTGTTGCAAACTTGCAATTGAGGATATAGAACTAGGAAAGGTTACATACCACAGTTTGGCTTTTCGCTAGGAGTTTCTCACACAGTCCTGTGTAGTTTCGTGGTTTCCATCCATGTTCTCCTTGATACTGAAACAAAATAGGAAAGATCGGTGTGACGGAAAATAAACAAAGCAGTTTTCTTAAACACGAAATTGGACAAAAATGGAGGAAAACATAGATACTTTTTAATAGAGTGACAAAGCACAATTACCTGAGAGATCATACCAATGACAACCATTCGCCCATAAACTGCTAACGCGTTGAAGCACAAATCAAACATTTCGCCACCAACGGATTCGTAAACGATATCAACGCCTTTTGGAAACTCCTTCTTAAGAACCTGATGATTTAGAGAAGAAAGTTGTTTGTTATGTGTATACATAGTTCGGTTATGATCATGTTTACATAGTAAACAACTTCTATCCAAAAGAATATAAATATACATTTTTGATGACTTCTTCTTTGTAGTCGATGACTCGATCAACTCCCAAATCTCTGAGAAGCATAGCTTTATCTTTACCTCCACACGTTGCAACTACTTTGTTTCCAGCTAATTTTGCGAGCTGGCATTAACACAAGCCAGGCCCGTAAATCATCGTAGTTAGATGAAGAAAGAAAGAAGGATATTCGGTTAAATGCCACGTTATTAAGACAAGTCTTTTTTAATGTTAAATTACCTGAACTGCAAATTGCCCCGTCCCTCCAGCAGCTGCAGTGACAAGAACTATCTTCCCGGACTCCATTTGTGCTGCCTAGAATCAGCACGAAAAGAAGTTTCACTCCAATATTGTATTCAAAAGCGAAAAGGTGTTGCATACCGCATTCAAACTAAATAAAACATAATTTCTAGATGAAACTGGTCTGATTTGTAGTATTTTTTTCATTTCCCACCTCCCCCGCTCTTTTTGTATGTGATCTGTATATCGTTTCTTTCAAGATAATGACAAGAGAATCCCTTCTCATTTCTCGATACTTGCAATGCCAAGTAGCTCTAGGATCGCAGTTTTTAGTGAGACAAACATAAAGTTTAGGCAACAAACCTTTTCTAGAGAAATTGATGCTGTAAGTCCAGAAGTAAGCATGGCAACAACTTCAGGGTCTGGTCTTGCGACAGGAAGAATGTGTTTTGCGGGTACCTAAAATATACATAAGCCAATATCAACATTATAATATTTATACATATATAGATAGAAGAAGGTTCAAACGAGAACACTAACTATGTGTATATATATATATATATATATATATATATATATATATATATATAGAGGAGCGTTCAAATAAAAACTTGACCCATTTGTGTAAACCGTGTAAACCAATCTCATCCATTCATTTTTTGATCAATGGCTAATATTACATTACTTTATTTTAGGAAATTAAAAATTAAAAAATAATTAATATTTATTTTATTTCATCAATAAGGGTAGAATCGGTAAACAAATTTAATTCATAGTATTTTTTATTCAAGGCAACCATATCAGGTAAATTATATTATTAATGAAAATGTTTCATCGTCATGAATATATTTCATTAACTATTTTGCAATGAAATCTTTTCACATTGAAATTTTTACATGCAGATTAATTTCATAACGAACAAAATCCATTATGCATTATTTCATTAACTATGAATCTATTTCATTAACTATTTTACATGAATCTAATCTATTTCATTAACTAATTTATTAACTATTTTATATGAATCTATTTCATTAACTATGCACCCGTTTCATGATACGTATATTTCATAACGAACAAAATCCATTATGCA